CAACTGGTGCACCAGGCGAACCTGGGCAAAAGCCCCCCTGATCACAGCTGACAAGTGATGTTCTAGTGTCAGCTGCGGATCCAGGATAACACCCAAGTTGTGGACCTTCTCTGAGGGGTGTAAATTTTCACCCCCCCAGGTTTAGAGATGGAATATCTGGACTGTCCTTGGGGGGCAACATCCATAGCCATTTGGTCTTGTCCGGATTGAGTGCAAGCTTGTTCACTCCCATCCAGGCCCTGACAGCTTCCAGGTACTGGCACATCACTTCCACCTCTACACTGAGTTGGCACGTGGCAGAGAGATATAGCTGGGTATCATCCGCATATTGATAGTATTTAATCCCGTCCCAGCGAATAATCTCACCCAGTGGCTTCATGTAGATATTAAATAGGATGGGGGACAAGACCGAGCCCTGCGGCACCCCATATTTGAAGGGCCTAGGGGTTGACCTCTGTCCTCCAACAAACACTGACTGCGACCTGTCTGAGAGGTAAGAGGAGAACCACCGTAAAACGGTGCCTCCCACTCCCACCTCTCCCAGCCATCGTAGAAGGATACCATGGTCGATAGTATCGAAGGCCACTGAGAGGTCAAGAAGCACCAGGATAGAGGAATGTCCTCTATCCCTGGCCCGCCAGAGATCATCGGTCAGCGCGACCAAAGCGGTTTCGGTGCAATAACCAGGCCTGATAACAGACTGAAAGGGATCTAGATAATCTGATTCATCCAAGGTCCGTCGGAGTTGAAAGGCCACCACCTTCTCAACAACCTTCCCTAAAAAAGGGAGGTTGGAGACTGGATGATAGTTATTGAGGATAGCTGGGTCCAGAGAAGGCTTCTCAAGGAAGCTTTCTTCAAAGGTTACGGGAAAGATCCCTCTTGCAGAGAGGTGTTCGCGATCCTCTGGAGCCAGCCTCATGTTACCTCCCTGCTGGTTGAGACCAACCAGGAGGGACACGGGTCCAGCAAACAGGTGGCGGCACTCATCGCTCCTGTGGCCTTGTCCCCTTTCTCAGGGGTGACAAGCTGGAACTCACTCCAAAAAATCTGATCAAGGCCCTCCCTCGGCATCTCCGCTGGTACTGTCCAAGTGGAGTCAAGTTGCCATGCATCTGAATTTTGATCACATGACCAGGGAAATGCTGCTTTGGTCGTAAGTGTGAAAACCAGTCATAAGGCACAGCAATTTTATCTTACAATATCAAGTTTGAAACCAATCATCTTCCAATGGGTTCTGGATTGAATTTCTGGATTTCCAGCTGGTTCTGGATTTCCGGACTGAATTTCATATTATGCTAGTAGACATGAATATGGAACATTCTCCGCTTGAAGAGGATATTAAGATAAAATGCCAAGGCAGGTCATTGTATTTGATTTCTTCAAATGCACAAATTATTTGGTGATTTGAGCCCCTCCATCATTCAGAGTCCAAAGAGACCATCTTTATTGAGGTTTTCGGTCTTGGTTGTTTATTAGAAAACAAAACATTGCATTTCTAGAGCAACAGTAGAATCAACTTCATTTAACATCAAGGTCCAGCATAAGATGATCTGGGTCAAAGTCATCAATCATACAGACGGAGCGGAAGAATGTGACTTATATGAAATAGATTGTTTTGTGTGATCATTTCTTGTCATTGTGTTTTAGGCATGCAACCCCTGAAAGAAGTTTCTCTTTGATGAGCCTCAACAAAACAAAACTACAAAATAGAATGTGTTAGATCGGGTAAAGGAAGGCACACAAAGGATCCAGTAACAACAGCTCTTTATTGCAAATCAGGTAAACATCCGACTGAAGAAGGGTAGGGCAGCATCCCCTTTTAAAGGGATCTGTCAGACCTCTTGACCTCTGGCAGGAACAGAGGTTAAACCTGTTCCCACCGGAACAGAGGACCTTGGTGGAAACCTCTGTCAGTTGGGGGGGGGGGAGATATCTAACACAGTGTTTTTCAACCTTTTTTGTGCAAAGGCACACTTTTTTCATGAAAAAA